ATCATCAATCTGTATCTCACATTGTAATTAATGTTCAGGATAAAGTTGTGGTATTTGTGTTTATGATGGTTGCTTGGTCATAACCTCTTGTGAGTGAACCTGCCCGCCCATTTGCTTTTTTGCATATAACCCTCGTAGTAAGCAGAATAATAGCTTCTCCAGATGTGTCTATGCCCTTGTCCTGGGAACCTGTAGATCTGTTACGGTACTTGCCAGGCAGAAGTATGCTAAGCATTTGACTTTTAGGAAGAAATCACCCTGGATTGTCTGGTTGGGCCCAGTGTAATCACAGGAGCCCTTTACGTATGGAAGAGGGAGGTAGGAGAACTCGTGTGAGAATGTGTTCTATGAGAAAGACAGCAAGGCATTGCTGGCTTTGAGGATGGAGAAAGAGGACTATAGCTGAAGACATCACATAGAGCCTGGAGAAAACAAGAAAATGGACATACAGTCCCACCCCCTGCAGTCCCAAATACAACTCTGCCAGTCCAGCATGAGTGATGGTGAGTACCGCGTAATCATCTGTAGCCACAGGATTGGGCCGGCACGGGGCACCTGCCTCAAGGACACTCACTCCCGAGTGGGGCTCCCTCTGTTGCTTTCAAACCTGCCTTTAGAGGCACTTGAGGAACACTGAGATAAGATGCTGGGACTCTCCTCAGAGATGGTGATTGGATTGTGCATGAGAGACGTCACCCATGACGTAAGATATCTGTGCACCAAGAGTGAACAGATGAGCTAGTCGTTCAGATCTTTTCAGGCCATTAAAACTAAACCCACAATGAATCTGCCAGTTTGTTAGGGAACTTAATATTGAGATGTTCTCATTCGCTGAAGAAGCCATGAATACCACTCATAAGCCAAAGTTGGGAAGGGGATAGAACCTAAGAGAAAGCAGAAGACATCAGTGGTGAGGAAAGGAAAAAGGAAGGATGCACAGAGAAAATTGCACAAGATAGAGACCGTGCGGCCTGTAAGTTGGAGATGGCAGCTGGTCCCTAGATCTGCCTGCTAGCATTACTCTTCCTTTTAGGGTGTAGTGTGTACAGGGAACCTTTCCTTTCTTTGGATTCCTTTCTTGTATCTTGCTCTTGTAACCCAAACATCTAACAGTAAGAAGAATCCAGTGATATATGTGAGAGAGATATAATTACTGGAAAACTACGATACCTACTGCAGTGGATAGAATGCCTGTGTATCCATCAAATCTGTATGATGAAATCCTAATCCCCAGGATGATCCTGTCTAGGATCCCATTTAGGTCTTTGGGAGG